AAATCTATTCTCTCTGTTCTCTGTGACTCTGGGCTCCTCCTTCTGGAAGTTTCTTTCTTGTTTATTTTCCTCCTTGACCACAACTGCAGTGATTGTTGGAGACGTGGTATTTTTGGACTCCTAAAACTTTCCCAGTGTGACTCTTGCTCATGCAAAACTGGTGGGCTTGGAATGGTTTTGTTTCAGAATAAAGTTTTTGTTTGCCTTGAGTTTATAATTTTTTTTCTTTCAGCAAACCAATGCTCTAAAAAAATTATAGGTTTGCTGTATTTCATCCCAGTTTCTGGTACCAGTAGGCACCCTGAAATACTTTTTTAAGAACATGATTCACAAATGTATTTTTTTATTTTGATTTCTTGCCCCACATCTTTTTCTCAACACAGGTATGGCTGCCTTGGGACTCCGCTGTGAATCATGTCACTATTTCACTATTAGATCACAAACAAGTCACTGACTCCATTTTTTTTTTTTTTGCATTTCCACTAACAAATTCTCTCTTTATATACATAGGGAGACAGAGAGTCTAGGGGCCATGTTTCAAACTTTTGCTTATTTTATTAATGAATATTAATAACAGAGTATTAATTGCCACCTCATAAAAGCATTTTTTTCTAATAAACAACCTGAAGTAGGTCCCCACTTGGTTTGCTCTAAAACACTATCTTTCTCAGCATTTCTATACTTTGGATCCTTAGTTGTTTATTTTTAACCTTGTAAGATTTCTGCCTCCCCACGCATTACAAAGGGCATGAGGGAAGTTCCAAGCACAGTATCCGACACATAAGGAGCACTCACCAACTATGTACTTAATAAAACATGGATAAATGGGCAAAAATGAATGTGCTTTGGTTAAACGTGAGGTACAACATTTTAGGATTATTGTTTTCAATGCCTCTTGGGCCAATACTTTTTAATGGTTCCACAGTAGAGTACATGAAAAAGTGGGAAGAAAACTAACCAATCTCAAAGTTCTACACTGATTTTTGAGCCGTGCTTAAACACTTGACATGGAACAGAACGTGCTCTCAGTGAAAGTAGGCATCGAGCTGATGAGCACTTTGCCCCACAGTCCACCTGGTAAACTAATCCCAAATGGAGCTCAAGGGTTTCCTTAGCTCACTTCTTCTATCTCACCATCCCTCCCCAACATCGGAGTGCAGTCTGGAACAAGAGTGTGTCACTGTCAGCAACATAAGGGACCCGGGAATGGCCTTTCTTCATACGGAAAATTGTCAAAAAATAATAAGAATTCTCCAATCTTATAGTTTTAGGGGCATTATCATAATTAGTAATATAGCAAGCCTACAAATTTAAAAAATATACCAAATTGAAAAATCATAGTACTTCTATAAGGATACAAATGTATACATGATACTTCAGCAAGTTAAGTATAATGGAAAGGTTGATGTAACACTGTCAAATGTAAGGTATCAAAAAATTATTGATCAACTGACAACATGTTGTTCTAAGACGTCTGCCTGGCCTCACAATTAAAGGTTTTAATTATTACAAAAGGGATTTAGATGCAAGGTCCTCTCGGTCCCCTGCTTGTGGTGTCACTTTCCAGGCCAGCACACTCTTACTCTGCGAGGGTGAAAACTTTACTGAGCTATGGAGTAAAAAGTGAGTTCAAGGCTGGGGAGGTTGCCTCTTTCAAAAGAACACCGGTACTGCGATTTTAATCGATTTCTGGATGAGAGTGGTCACAGGCAGCAGCCCAGGTTGAGCAGTGGAAACTGAAAGCCCCTGGTGTGTACATTTACATCTATACACATATATGTCTGTCATCAAGCTTACTATATATATATGTATCTATTTCTATTACTATATCTCACAGGTCTTAAATGTATTAAATCATATATAATTGCATGTGTATTATATACATTTAATAATTTTACATATCCCTCAAATTAGAAATATATATTTGGATAATAATAGACATTATTTTTAGGGATCCAGATAAACACTGAAATGATACAATTTTTCAACCATTTGACTCCTCTTTGTATTATAATATTATCAGTAAATTTTTACAGGAAAAAGATTAGAAGTAAATGAGAAGAATGTTTATGTGAGTGTTTTGTGAGGGGGTGTGTAATTTTCTAACTAAAAAGCCATTTTCCTCTCAATGATAGAAGATAATCCCTAACTTTTATTTAATTAACACACATTTTTCCTAATTGCTTGCTAATTGGAGGATGTATCTGCTAATCATCAGAATAGTTTCCACAGAGGAAAGTTCAAGGTTAATGCAAAATCTGATCCAGATTTGTTGCTCTACTCACTCAGTCATTTTGAATGTGATGGCCACAATTTTCACATGCTCACTGTGGTGTCTACCACCCTCACCAACTAGTACAGTGAAGTTGCCATTATTCAAGCATGCACATTCCAGTCCACTCTCCTTGGCTGCCGGGTTACATCAAGGTCATGCAAACTATCCTCCTTATATTAACAATGGCTGGATTTTTTCTGGACAGACGTTGTATCTATACACATACACACACAAGATGCAAGATGAGGAATATATATATAAGAATATTATTCAACCATGCAAAAGAAGGAATTCCTGACATTTGTGACAATGTGGATAGATCTTGAGGAGATACTTATGTCATGCTAACTAAAGACAGACAGACACAGGAAGACACATCCTGCATGGCATCACTTCCTATATGTGGATTCCAATAAAAAGAAGTTCAACACAATAGATACAGAGTAGAAAAGTGTTTGCCAGAGCCTGGGGGTGGGAGAAACATGGAGAGTTTGGGAAAAGACTACAAACTTTAAGCTATAATATGAATAAAATGATGATCTAATTTACAATGTGTGACTAGAGTTGATAACATGCATTGTGTAATTGAAGTTTTCTAAGAGCGTAGAACCTACATGTGCTTATAAAAAAATCAAAATGATTTTTTATTTAAAAAATAGAAATACCATCCAGAGAGAAAATGGATAAAATGTAGTATATTCATACAATTGAAAACTCCAGAGCAATTAAAATTTTGAAAAGGAATGGACTGCTGCCTATAACATGGATAAATTTGACAGACATAACATTGAACAAAAGAAGCCATACACAAGAGTACTTCTGTGAAATTAAAATACAAGCAAAAGTAATCTATGCTGATAAGAATTGGTTATTTAGGGTTATTGATTGGGAAGTGTAACTGGAAGTGTTCTATTTTTAAGGATTTTATTTACTCATTTTTAGAGAGAGGGGAAGGGGGGGAAGGGAGGGGGGAAGGGAAGGAGAAAGAGAGGAAGAGAAACATCAACCAGTTGCCTCTCACATACCCCCAACTGGGGACCTGTCCTGCAATCCAGGCCTGTGCCGTGACTGGGAATCAAACCTACGAACTTTTGGTTCACAGGATGACACCCAATCTGCTAAGCCTCACCAGTCAGGTTGGGAGTGCTCTGTGGTTGTGTTCCATATATTAACCTGAGTGTAAAATTCACTGAGCTGTGTCCTTAACATTTATGCACAGTGCTATAGATATGATGTACTTTAATTAAAAATATACTTAATCCAGGGATGATAGGGTATGTGTAACTAAAAATTTCTTGTTTTTCTGTATTCAGATTAATTTGTATTGCTGTAAATAATTTCTATCTATATTTCAGAAATACTGCCAGCTTCTCACCTTTCAACCCAGTTGAATGTAGGACAGCTACTTATTAATTACATGATATTCTATTTCATTAGCAGGTTCTGTTTTTTCTCAAAACTTTCCCCAAATTGAACAACCAAAAGAGCACTTAGAATTTTGAATCATCTGAATAAACTCGCCTAAACCAAGGCATCACTTTGAATTTCAAAAATCCATTTGAATGACCAAATATTTCTGCATCAAACAGTGTGATTTAAATTACAGCAGAAATGGAAACAAAATTCATAGTAAAGCAAAGTGACAGAAAGAAAATGAATCTAATAATATTTTTATCACTTTTCTCAGAAGCACCAAGTTAACGTGATTTCCATCTAATGCCTTCATTTCCCGGTTGCTCCCACACCCTGAGAAGCAGAGGAAGCCTACGACGCTGGCACACTTGTTGTGGAAATAAGAGCATCATGTGCCTTTTGCCTTCACTTAATTGAAGCCACGCATATAAACTAGAAAGAGAGTAATACCATTCAAGAAGGTTACAAAAAACACAGTGTTGAATCATATACAAAATTACAGTCCACATTTTAGGGAAAAAAATCATTGTTTTAGTCAGATTAGGCTAACACAACCAAATCCCACAGACTATGCAAATCAATTTTCTCACAGGTCTGAAGGCCGGAATCTGGGCTCAGGGCTCCAGGATGATTCCGTTCTCTACCGTTTGGTCCTGCGCTTGTGGAAAGGAAGAGATCCCCCTTCTCATAAGGCCACCAATACTATTAGATTATGACCTCATTTCACCTTAATCACCTCCTAAAAGTCCTATCTCCAACTACAGCCCTTTAGGGGTTAGGGTTCAACATGAACTATAGGGGGACACAATTCAATTCATAGCAATAATCTAGTAGTTAAAAGTAGGAACTATGGAGTTAGTAATCAAGTTCAAATCTCTGATCCACCACCTCCCATATGATCTTAAACTCTCTCTGATATACTTTTCTCATATGTAAATCAGATAATAGTACTCACCTAATAGAAATACTGTGACATTTAAATAAATGTATAATGATATTCAGAATAATGCATGACAAGTTTTTTATCAAAACTTAATTGACATAACATCGTATTAGTTTTAGGTGTAGAACATATTGATATATTGATATGTGCATATATTATTAAATGATTGCTACAATCCATCTTCACATTGTTATAACTTTTTCTTGTGATGAGAACTTTTAAAGTCTACTCTCTTAGCAACTTAGCAAATATAGAGTATTGTTAACTACAGTCACCATGCTGCACTCACGACACTTGTCACTAATCAGTGTCTGAAGAATCACTGTAAGATCTTTCTAATCTGCAATCTGCAGTACAATCACCACCAAGATGCAGATTTTTGTGGAAACCCTTGCAGAAAAGACCCTCATTCTCAAGGTCGAGCCCTCAGGTACAATGGAAAATGTAATGGCCAAGGTCCAGGATAAGAAAGGAGTTTCTCCTGGTCATCAAAGACTGATCTTTGCTGCCAAGCTACTGGAAGTTGGATGTACTTTGTCTCACTGCAGCATTCGAAAGGCGTCCCCTCATCTTGTGTTGAGACTTCGAGGTGGTGCTAAAAAAAGGCAGAGGTCTTACGGCACGACCAAGAAGAATATGCATAAGAGAACGAAGGTTAAGTTGGATGTCCTGAAATACTACAAAGTGGGTGAGAAGGACAAAATTGTTTGCCTTCATTGGGAGAACCATTCAGGTGAATGTGGTGCTGGAGGGTTTATGGCCACTTTGAAAGACATTGCTGGGGCAAAACTAAGGCAAACTTGTCAAGGAGGCAGATGTCATAGAGAGGCAACCTTTGATGAAATGTTGGCATGGAACATTGAGCCTTGTGTTAATTTTACGCCAATAATGAATAGTAGGAGAAACACAAAAATCTATAGGCAAATAAAATAAGGTGGGTTTATTTAGCATAAATATTTTATTAAGTTAATTCTACTTTAGAGATAATAGTGAGAATTCTGGTAACTCCCCCTGAAATCTCTAAGATATTTATTTTTCCAAAAACAAGGAAATGTCATATAAGGAACTATGGTGATCTAGAATTTATGCAAACTGTTTATGTTCTAGGGTAAGCCCTTACTAAAGAGCAGCCACACTTAAAAACACAGTTATACTAAAAACTTCATTGAGAACTAGAAACCACTTTTGTATAATCTTACTTTATCTCTGCATTTGGCTTTGCAAAGGAGCTTCACTTTATTTTATAATGACAGTATGTCATTTTTTTGTTGGAGTTAAATATGGATTGAGTGGAAGTACTGTATGAGCAAGACCTGGCTAGAGTCCACAGCAGCATCTCCAGAACATTAAAAATAATTCAGAAAAAGAAGTCAAGGTAATTACTCTGTTGCACAGATGAGACAACAAGGGGCAAAGATTTTGGGGGCCTGTGATTTGCCACAGTTGCACATGCAAGTCAAAAAGAAGTGTCCCATTGTACGGGCCCTGTGCCTGCCCACAACTATACACTGGAAAATCCCCTCATGGTCAGCATGTCAACAGACCTCCCCGGTGCCCTCAAATGGTTTCCTGGGAAAAACTCTTCACCATTTGTTTAACCTTAGGATTTATTTCTTTATTCAGTACATATTTCTAACCTTGGGCCATGGCAGCAAAAGAACATTCTCCTAGAAATTAGGGGTGGGAGACAGATCAGTGAGAGGGTGAGGGGGAAGGGGGAAGGTGAGGAGACAGTGATGGGGAGTGGAAACCTTTAATGCTAACCATCCTTAATATTTTAGAATTCATTCGAATGACTTTCATTTTGTTTATGTGGTAGAATCTCCAGGCTTTCAACTAATTAAAATACTAATTTATGCAGTTTCTACCTATCTAATGAGACTATGCAAAGAAAAGCCAATATAATGCTATGCAGAGGAGGAATATTCAAGGAGGCCTTGCTATTGATGTGATAAGCAGGATATCAAGACTCTTAATCATCAAATTACCTCCCTCCACTGGTGTCTGAGGAGTATCCAATTTCATCCCTATAGTATTGTACAGAGTTGCCTAGGGGCTTGGGTGGGTTTATTGACACAGTTTACTTTGTGACTTTACAGTGGCCGCTTCATTTGCATAGGTAACGGGAAACTCCACAAGCGCTTAGTATTGTACTGCTAGAGGGACTGAGGTCAGGGGCTTATCAAAGGTGTATTAAATCAGTAGTTAACCACAATTAGAGCACAACTTTAAACAAATGTGCATTAAAACATGTGTCGCAGAGTTGATGTTACTGTGCCATGCTAATGGCCTATCACTCTCACCATCCTGGTGCTAAAGTCCAGTCCTTGAAATATAATTTTTCCAATAAGACTCACTAACCATAATTGTCACATATAAATAAAAACAGCTCGTTTTAATTAATGGCTTCCCATGAAAACATTTAGATACTAACTCACAAGAAAGCAATTTGTAGTTGAAGTAAAATCGCTCACAGCCTATCAGTTTATAATAGACCATTTAATTTTAGTTAACTAGGACTTTTCATTACATGCCAAAGGGTTTAAAAATAGTCTCTCAACTTTTAAATATTAAGGATTCTGAAGTGTCAAGAATAAGCCTTGTGAAATTCAAGTTACTTTTGAAAATGATACTATTTAAAAATATTTCTAGGGTAGTTAACTTTTATATAGCCAAAGAAATCACTTTACCCACTTAATACCATAGATTCTACCATAAATATCTTCTTTGAAAAATTAGATTTTCTTTTCATTATATAAATTAGGCAATAGTTTTAATCTTATCAAAACTGTCAAAATAGACTTGGCATGTAGAAATTAAAAACATTTTGAAGTGTTAATGTAATTAGCAGTCTATAATTTGTACAATAATCTGTTTAAATCACAACAGTTTGCAATAAAACAAAATCTTTACTTCTCCAATCAAATATTTAGAAAATGAATCCGTTCCTTCTCAGGATAATTTGGTTTTGGTGGAAGGTTTTACTAAATAGTTTTTAATAGTCATCATACATTCAATATTGTGTGTTTCATATATTATGCCCACACCATCTGAGCGTCTTCAACCAAGCTTTAAAAATTATGCCAAAGTGGTTATCCATGAAGCTCCGGAATCTGTCTGCCTGGGACTGACTCGTGGTTTCCCACAGAACTAGCTACAATGGAGTACAAGTTATTTCTTTAGTTTCCTTACCTGTAAAATGGGACGTATTGATGATCTATTGCTATGTATCTAGTTGCCACGAACCTAGTGATGTTGATCAGGTTCCACCCTCTTCCAGGGTTGGGAGTCCTCTCCAGAGCTCTTCTGAGTTGTTGGCAGATTTAGTTTCTCGAGGATGTGGAACGGAAACGCCCGGCCGTGACGACTGCCTCTCTTCTCGGGGGTCACAAATGACTAGCAGCTTCAACGCAAACAGGAGAGCGTCTCTTCTTCCAGTCTCTTCTCTCTGGAAGGGCACGGGCCCTCTTCCAAAGCAGTCAGCTGACAACGTCAGGCCTACGTAGGATATTCCCCCTTGTGATTCATTCTGTGTCAGCTGATTAGGTGCCTCAATTTTACCTACAAAATCCCTTCACCTTTGCCATATTTATTGGTTGGAAGCAAGCCACAGGTCCCACCTGTACTCAATGAGAGGGGATTACCCAAACACGTGCACCTCAGGAGAAGGTAATTACAGGGACACCTTATAATTCTGCCTTTTGCATTGGAATATACCAGTACATGCATCTTTGGATTGATTTTTTAAAAGATTTTATTTGTATATATTACTTAGTGCATGACACATGATAGGTATTATCGATTTCTTTTTTAGTTTGATATTTATTTCTGCAGAAGCTTTGAGTAATGAAAATGTTGGCATTACTGGGAAAATTCTTCAGCTGACATGTAAGTTTTAAGAGAACCTCATGGTATTCATTACACTCCATTTATATCGTGATGGTAAGTGTGTTCTGTTAGCTCACATGTAGAACTAATGGAACCAACTATCCAGTCCCCATAAAGCCATTACCATGTCCTATGATATCCTGTGGTCTAACATATTTCAAACATTAAATAATTTCCCTACTGAATATTGAAATACTAAGTCAATGTTGATAAGAGGTAGGTAAATTATTATATGGGTTACTTCACAATCTTTACATTTATCTTCTCTTCATTATTTTTAAGTGGGATCCAGATATTTTTTCTAAGGAAATGGCTTCTGCTCATATAAATGAGCAGTACTTCATTTAGGCAAAGAAAAAATATTTTTTAAATACTTCTGAAAATCTTGCCCTTTCCGATACCCTCTACATTCTGCAGAAATATCTTCTAATAATCCATAGGAACACCTCATTTAATTGGAATAAACTAGGCAACCTACAATAGTGTTCATTTTTCACTTTGGGAAAGAGGAGAAACTCATTTCCTCCACTTGAATTCAGCCTCGGACTGGAGTGAGGTAGAAGAGGAAGATGCCATCCTGCCACCTGAGTTCAGGGCAAATAAAAGTTTTATTTTCCTGAGGATGTGCAATTCGACAACAAATTTGTCGCCATTTCCCTCCACTCTACCCAGCTCTCCTTTGAATCCCCAGAGAACTCAGAGGAAACCAGGGCACCTTCAAACACGGTTTCCATTATGTCAGTAATAAGCACTAAAAGGTTGTCACGGCTTTTCCTCACTAATTCTCAACAAATCCTAGGGAAAAAAGTCTTAAAAACAAATTGCAAAATGCAATGATTCCAAAATGTAATTAGATAAAAAATACATATTTTGTTTGTTGGTTGATTTGTTTTGATAAGTCATTGACACGTTAACCAGATTTACAAAATGGAAACTTCAAGAATTGTTGTAGACCGCTCTGCCTAGTTTTAGGAATTGTATCTCGATCCCTTGTGGCTAAGGGTGAGAAATGACCTCTGGAACGTGAGCCACAGGAGACAAAGCCTGTCTCTGGTAGCAAACAGCTGCCTCACTTCCTCTCCCTGTCCCCAAAGCTTGGTCAGAAGTCAATGACAGGTAAGACCCCTCACAGCGGGGGGGGGGGGGGGGGGGGCAACCTAAGCCAGACTCGATCATTTGGGAGGCCATCATGGAAGGACTGGTGGGGGGGCAGGGGGAGGGGTTTCAACAAAGAGTAATGGACTCTCACCCCCTGGTTATGACATAGTCCGAGTCCCCATGTTCTCTGGGAGAAGGGCTTCCTGGCTCTAATCCTCTTAAGCCTGAATACCTGTTGGGGAGGGGTGCAGCTCCTTGCCTTGCTGGAGTGTGTCCTCAGGAAAAATCTGGCATCACAAAGACTTGCTGATAAACCTGTGAAATCTGCTCTGCTAAGAGTGCTTCCATTCATATGATAAGGGTCCGAGAGGAAATGAGTATGTCTCCCAAAGCTTCTGCAACTCTCTTCCTAACAGACACTGACTCAGACTAAGCCCTAAGCCCTCAGATTTCTTTGACATGTTATCTACTGTTTGATCCTTGCCACCCTGTATTCCTGTGTATTACAACCTGTGTATAACACATTCCTGTGTATTATAAAAGACTGTGGAAGAGGGTGCTCTGGGCCTTTGTCTCCCCTGAAAAACTGGCCACATCCCACTCTTCCTCCCCAAACAGATCTCACCAGGTCTGTCATTATTCATTCACTCGTGTCTGTGGCACCAGGGGGGACTCGCAAAGAAGTCGCTCCCACAAAGAATATTCTCACTTAAGTATGCAACACTAAAAAACTCATACTGTACTTTGTTGGTGTAGAAGCAACTTGTTACTCCTTTTCCCATTCCCCACGAGTCTTCTTCTCCTAATATTACTTGAGGAATAACTTGTTTGCATATATTGCCCAAACAATTGATTGGTTTTATATACCAATCAAAATATTATTCATAAGTTCAGTTTTAAATTACAAAACAGGCAAATATGTTGTTTAATACGACAAAGAGAAACTA